TTCATGCATTCGGTGGAGAGAATCAATGAACAAGAAATTATGTAATATATTATATATGTATGAATTTTATTTATTTTTTTAGTCTAAAAATTATTAGAATTATTAAATTTTTAAGAATAAATTGTCATTATTATTATGTTAATTTTATTACTTTTAATTATATTATTATTTATTACATCATCCAGTTCGACCCCGGTTCGATCGGTTGAACCGGTCGAACCATGAACCTCTCATTCTTCCGGTCCGGTTTTCACAACCTTGGAAACAGTGGGTGTTGCTGATGTTGATTTTATGTGCCAAAAGATGTACACATCAGGGAACGCTGATGACCCTAGGGTATTCAACAGGAGCATGATGGATATCATCAAGGTTAAGACTGAGATTTATCAATGGCTTGTAAACCAAGATCTTACGTGTTGGGCTTTTAACCCTTGACGGTTGACTCAATGTGGAGTCATGATAACAATGCATTGGAGTCCTTCAATGACGCTTTAAAAAGAGTTTGAGGTTTTCAAATTTGGGCATTTGTTCTGTCATATATTACAATGTTATGGCTATGCACTTGAGGAGGTTATAGATTCTTGTTGTTGATGAGCATTAGAATAATTGTCTTTTTACACCTCAAGTTTAATCAGTTGACTCAATGTGGAGTCATGATAACAATGCATTGGAGTCCTTCAATGATGCTTTAAAAAGAGTTTGAGGTTTTCAAATTTGGGCATTTGTTCTGTCATATATTACAATGTTATGGCTATGCACTTGAGGAGGTTATAGATTCTTGTTGTTGATGAGCATTAGAATAATTGTCTTTTTACACCTCAAGTTTAATCAACAGTCATGAAAATTGAATAAGAAGGCAGGAGGTTGCCACAACTTATTAGAATCAACAAGCATAAGTTCCAATTTGTAGACACATTGTCACGATTGTACATGCTAATTTTATAGAAGAAATAATATGTATTTGTAGCTATTTAATAACTATTATATACCATTTACCTTGTGCACGTATTGTGAGCCCTGTTATAGTGCTAAGATGAAGCCACCTTGATTGTGTATAAGAGTATTATAGGTTAAACAACTTTAGACTGACATATGTTGGTTAATTTTATCATATTCCAGATCTGGAGGCCTAAACTTACAACAAACCAACAAGTGGGCTTTGCCCTCTCTACCTATCCAATTACAAAAATGATCGAGTAAACCACATACGAATCGGTATAGAAACTCAATGGACAAAATGATAATAAGAAGCAATAGGTTGTGTAGTGTGTGCCACTTAGTAGGACATAATTGGAGTGCATGTCCTACTACATAAGTTACTTTGCTCTTGTGGACTTTTTAAAATGACAAATTTTGTTCAATTAATTATGATGTTCCAAATTTTTTTGCTCATGCTTGTCATAAAAACATTTATATTTAGCATATGCATCTGATCATGCAAGTTATATTTTCAATTTTTTAAATTTTTTGTACAATCATACTTAAAACCTTGTGGACTTTACAATGCTGTTTAAACTTGTCTTAAAATTAATACTAGTTTTTATATGCCTATAAATTGCTCATATTCTATTACGTATGCAACTATTTTAACATAATGTCATTTTTGTAATATATACACTTTTTCAAGCTTCACAGCAGACGACCAAGCTAAGCCAAATAGGCACAGTCGTAGGTGCCATCCTCCTACGGAAGAACCCACCTAAGCATCGATAGTTACATCCATCATAGTATTACATCACTAAGCGGTAGCCACCGAGCAACTCATCCAAATGATGCTAGTTTTTAAAATTTGCATATTTATATGTGTTTATTAGTTTTATTTGCATCACCTTTTTTAATTATACAATTACTATACATCATTACTTTTATTGTAGGGCATAATCCTAGAGCCATCTTCAAATCTACTGACGGTGCATGATTGGTCAGTAAAATGCCTAAGATTTAGGGATGTGTTGAGGATGGTAGGATTTGAATGTGTCAGCCATATGACATATATAAGGACGGATCACCATTTGGTGACTCCTTTGCTAGATAGATGATTACCACATACGAATATGTTCCACCTCCCAATTGGCGAGATGAGGATTAAATTACATGACATAACCATGATCTTAGGTGTACAGATTTATGGTCCAACATTTATATGATACAGTCGTTGGTCCAAGGCGACGATGGCTTGGTTAGCCTGATTGTTGTGATCACTTATTAAGTAGGCATATGGAGACCGATGTTGTCTACCATGACCCATTTAACCATTATATAAATTTGAAGTTTAGGATAGGCCAGGCTCATGCACATACTTGCATGCCACTTAGGTGGTTGTAGTGGACTTTCTAGCGGAACTCATAGCTTTTTCTAACGAAGAACAACTTTTAGAGGCATATGAGTGCGTATAGATTATTCATCATGGGATGCCACCTTTTATCAGACACCTCGGGTTTGGAGATCCATTTCCATTTGTAGTACTTACCCTTCATGGAGGACATTGGGATATTTAGCACATACTCACTTGGGGTGCAGTATTTGCCCCCTTGTATAGAAAACTTATTTAGGCTACAAGGCCCAAGAGGGCCAATATAATAGGATGTATGCATTTACTGCATATTTGGGCATGGGAGCACATTCATGTTTGTCGACCATTACTTCACATTCCTTAGCCTATTTAGCTCGATGGTTTGAGTGTTGCCATTGGGTTTGATTTGTTATTTTTTATTAGTAATTTTTTTTTAAAATCTATAAGTGTTATATTTGGATTAATTAATTTTTCTTTGTAGATGGAATGAGGAGCTGCTGTAATAGTTACTTGTGGGGAATATCATCAACTAATAAGATGAGCTACTTGATAGTCATGTAAGTTATGCAAATTCATAAAGTTATTTGGTCTTCACTGCACTTAAGAGTTACAACATTTTTCATTTTACTTTTTTGACTTCAACCCAAGTGATATGGGATCCTTATGCATCATAGATTCATGCTTAGGTCACATAAATATGTCTTTCAAGTCAGGATATATGGCTAGACAGCATCCTTTCATAAGTTTGAAGAGAGTTTAGTGGCACCCACCTGATAAAGTTTTATGACAGTTTGGCTACTCCCCCATCAACTGACATCATGTCCATATACCTCAGCTTTGTATGAGTTGATGGCCATTGAAAGGCGGACGTGGATTGGATGTTGTACTAACACACCTATATTGCCTTGTGGGAGAGCAGGAGATTATATGTGGTTGTTGGAGTTATTTGTGGTCATAACTATTACATCATAATAAACCACTATTTAAAGTGGTTTATATCATGGGCTACATTGTATACGTTGAAGTCACCTGTCGATCCTTAGAGCACCGTTTGGTACATATAGGTGATCATGCACATTGCCTCCCAAGCACGCCATATTTTACGCAAACTAATGTATTTGGCAACTACTTGCATTATGATTTCTTTCTTGTGGTGTAGAGGACCTTACAACCTTATTTTGGCGAGCCTAAGGTCATAGATATGTAGCATGACACAAACAAAGTAGGGGAGCTATATCATGGGTTATGCCGACAAATGCATATTGAGGATGATATATAAGCTTATGACACAACATTAAGCCTGCCACCTAGTGCTACAAATACATAAGGAGGAAGTGCTGGCCCACACTCTTATGTTGATCAGGGGCCCTCGTAAGGCTACCACACATATACAATACAATCAAACTTTCTTTCTTGTTTTAGTTCATAGTTTTTCCATCATTCTTGGATGCACCTTACATTACACACATTGACGCAAGTGTCAAGGAGCAACACTACTTACGTACATCATTTTACACCTATCAGTGATGTCATACCTTACCTATGACGCATTAGTTTTGATTATATTTTTTGATGTTTATATTATACTGCTTCAACATGTACTAGTTGGTTTGAAAAAAGAGATTTGCTTTGGAAAGAGTACAAAGCAATTGAAATTAAAATTTTTTGGGAAAATTTGAAATTGACTTTTGAATTTTAATTCTAAAATCGAACATATTATCATTAATAATATACAACCTTGAGAAGTAGAAATAGATTTCGTAATGGGGTTCAAATTTAGAATTGCAAATTTCATCATGAATATCGTAAGTCAAATTCATGGATAAGCTACATACGGTCTCGAATGGTCGAAATGATATTCACTTAAATATTTAGTTACAATGATCAATATATGCTATCATTAATCTCATGCTCGAAGTCACGACAACAAATGATGTGTCTTCCCAAGGGAAGATTATATCATCCCTTATAAGTTATTCGAATATGACGATAACGATCATCATTGATTTTAATTTTTCCAAAGAGAATTATTTGAATATTTTAAAATTGATTTTTAACTTTACTTGTTCTTTTTTTTTTCATCAAATGAAATGTCTTCCCTAAAACCTCTTCTTCTCACATGCCACCAATTCCCTCAACGACCTCCCAACTAGCTCCTATTACAAAGCCTTCTCCTAACACATCATTGGTCTCAATAACAAGTGCATAGTTAGCTCTTATTACAATAGTTTTATCCTCACATGCTGCAAGTCTGCCAGCAAGCTCCCGACAAACTCCTTATAAAAAAACCTTCACCTCACACATCACCCCATCCCATCAGTGAGCTCCAGGCTAGCTCCAATAGCAAAAACCTTTACCTCACATATCGTTGATCCCATTGACCAGCCCAATACGATATAGTTGTGAAATATCTTTTTCTCACACGTCCTGATCCCTTTCATATTGTATAACATGATCACATAAAATGCCTAAATTTGAACTAATTTGGAATCATGCTTGAAGAATATTAGATTTTAACTTTGGCTTCAAATTCATTTGAATGATTTTTTTTTCATGAAGGACTTCATTAAATAGACAAGATAAAAAATAAAGATAATTTAGTGACAAATAAATCTCAAACATATTTTCTTAAAATAATAAACAGCGTGATATATTTCTAATTTGGAACATTATGAGTATGTAAATTCAAATTTCTCCAATCGTTTTGAATGCGCCTGTAACGAATCGTGAATTAGGAGAGACATAATAGAGACAGATCGCGAGAAGCAGAAATGTTGCGGCGCTGAGCCTAAGCAGTGATTATTAAGTTACCGTCTAACGCTCGCGGTCCAGGCTCTTGGCCATGGAAGAAACAGCCGTTAATTTCAAAAATCTTGGTATAAGAGAGTTCCAGGGCCACAAGAAGAAGGTACGGACTAAGGAGGACTAGCGGTAAACCTCTCCCGCCTCTCTCTTTTCCTGTAATGAGAGGACCTGAAAATCTAGGGTTTGCTCTTTTTTTGGTCTCCATTTTAAAAATCGTTCTGTCCGTCGTTTTATTCTGAAGAAAAACTTTTGTGTTTTACACAGTTTTCCGTCTCCTTCTCACTTTTTCCGAGTGGGAGTTTGACCTATGTTTTACTTGTGTAATGTGGAAGGTGCATTCTGTGGCTTGGAACTGCTCCGGCACGAAGCTAGCCTCGGGCTCTGTGGATCACACTGCACGTGTTTGGAATATCGATGCTCATGGCCATGTAATTTCTTGCTTCAAACCGTGCTATGATTGTTTTCATGTTAACCACGTTGTTGCATGATGATTTTATAAAGTAAGAGGGATTGACACACATAGCACTCCAAATTATCCTATTTCATATCTATTACTTTTAACTTCTCTCTCTATATAATGCGGGAAGGTGAAGTTCTGACCGACTTCTTAGAAACACGCTCTTCCCGCGGATTCACCTCTAAATGACGAGCAAGGTCATGAGTTTGGAAGGACGAGTGACGTGGAACATCATAGCTTAAGTTTTCCTTAGAATTAGCTTATTATAATTTGTTACATGTTTGTTACATTATTTCTAGAAAGTTCTTAGTAGCTTATATAAGCAAGGTATTGTAAGGAAGGGATTAGATGAATATTATGACATTTTGAAGCTTTTGAGCTTTTGTGTTTACCCCTGGATTGGGAATCCCTTCAAGCAGGTCTGATTCTTTTGACAATCCATTGCATCGGTTTGGTATCAAAGCTTGATGCTTGCGAAGAAGGATGGACTGCAGAAAAAGGTGGGCTGTCGACAATGATCGAAGCCGAAGAAGATTGGCGGTCGACAAAGATTGACGCAGAATAAGAGGACGGTCGACGACGATCGATGAGGATGAAGAATGGTGGTCGACGAAGATTGACGCTGCAAAACCCTTAGGGTAGCTCAAGTGATTGCGTCACTTGATTGAATGAATGCTTTATGTGTTAATTTCATGCATTCGGTGGAGAGAATCATGAACAAGTCGACAACCCCACCGACCCTGTCGCTCATTTGCTCCTCCAACACACACGTGCAACTGACCTTGTCCCAGCTCCAAGGCGATCCTTCAGCCGCTGATATCGACTTAGCTGAAGGAGAGCAATTCGCCTGGCCTCTTCTACCTCCCGCACGCACAAACCAACCCCAATACCAGATCCACATGCCGTCAGCACGCCCTACCTTGCTTTTGCTTCCAAATTCGCAACTTCCACATTCTTCGCCTCTCCAACATACCTGCGATCTTAATCCGCTCCAGCATGATTTTGCTCCAATGGACACATCTCTGGGCGTGGGATACCCCTCAATCCTTTCATTCATGCGTCTTCTGTTTGCCAGAACTCCCAATCCTGCATGTCGTCATTCCCGTTCCCGGCATCCAACTGGATCCCGTGAATGACACTCCCCGCTCGTCTTCCGTCTCTGACACGATCCAAATTTCTTACCATCCTGCGCTCGAAACCCGCCTCTGATGCAATCCAGCGGCCGGCACCTGCCTCAGACACGATGTTAATTTGATCATTAAGAAGAGCAAAACAAAAAACGGGAGAAGCAAAGCACGATCATCAGTTCAGGGAAAATTCCATTCAATGGTGTTGCATCTCGGGCGAGTAGCAATTCTTTGTAGCCCTCGAGTGGACAGAACTTAAGATGCACAAACTCTGCTAAATTCGTGAGTGATGAAACAAGAATACTGATGGGTGGTTCAGATTGCTCTATGGGTAGAGTTAATGTATTTTCTAATAAGATGGCATTTGCTTTTGGGAGAAAAGACAAGAACGATGACAATTTTTACAACAACTCACCATTGGGATCTAATATCAATTCATTTTATTCAAGGATATATGTTGAAGATAAAAGTAGGATGCCGCATTCTGAATTTTTTGTGCACGAGAATGGAGAGAAGAAAAGTACCCATTCAAGGAAGGATTTTTCTTTTGCTTCTTATGATGATTTATTTAGTGAAAAACATGATAAAAACAAGAAGAACGATCACGAGAACTCTGGTAATGTGGATTGCCAGAAGATAAACACAAATGCTTATTTGTTTGGAAGCCTTATGGAGACAAAAGTTAGTATAAATCAGACCACAACCATGTGTTCCAATGAGATATCATTTTTCTCGGTCTCCAAGTTACCTCGAGACCTAATGAAGTTAAGATTAAAACTTCGGAGAACGGTGAGAATGGGAGCAAGGACCAAGATGTTTTTGTAATTGGAAGTAGTAATGGGGATGTTTATGCTGCAGGTGTGCAAATGCCCGGTCCGAATTCTATTGGCAAAATCGATCCAATGCAATGCTCCCAAGCTGTTCAACCAAATGTCACTAAAGGATATGATCCCAAATTTGTTGGGCCAGTTTATAAGGATTTACTAGAAGATGGACAACTGATAGCTGTAAAACGACCTTCAAGATCTTCAACACAAGGATTTGTAGGAATGAAGAATGAGGTTGCTTTGGTTGCCAATCTTCAGCACAAAAACCTTTTTAGATTGTTGGGTTGTTGCTTGGAAGATGGTGAAATGATGGATTGTCTTTCTAAGATGAGTGTTGTGAAATACTTATTTAATCCAACTGAGCAATCAAAATTGGATTGCGAAACAAGATTTAAGACCATTATAGGCATCCACTGTGGTCTTGTACAGCCATAAGATTTTGCAAGAGCCCTTGATTTGGGATAAAATAAAGATAGTGTTGCTATCATTGTAGATGAGCTCCCTTATGTTGATCTGTTATTGTCACCCCATTGCAAGCACAAGATCATTGGTGAAGAGTTCACAAAAAATGGATGATTAAATATGATTTGTAGTCAGCAGGAGTACATTATAACCCTTAATTTCACAAATCAGCTTCTTGAGCGATTTTTTTTGCTATGGAGTTTGCCAATATACCTTGGCTGACAAAGGTGATCTTGAGCAACAATAATCTCACCAGCATCATTCCAAATTCACTTGCCACTTTGCTTGATGTTTCCCATAACCATCTCACAGGGTCTACGGTTAGATCGGTTTGGCAACGATGGCACGCATCGAAAACGCGAAGTCTTCGATCCAGGAGGATTACTTATGTTCTCTACACTTACCTCCCCACCGACGAAACGTCTCGACAGAGTCGAGTTTTTTAGACACTAGGGGAGTATGATGTGGAACATCATAGCTTAAGTTTTTCTTAGAATTAGCTTATTATAGTTTGTTACATGATTTCTATAAAGTTCTTAGTAGCTTATATAAGCAAGGTATTGTAAGGAGGAGAGTAGATGAATATTATGACATTTTGAAGCTTTTGAGCTTTGTGATTATCCCTGGATTGAGAATCCCTTCAAGCAGGTCCAATTCTTCCGACGATCCACTACATCAACGACTCAAGGTAATACTCCATTATCTTCTTAATTAAACCCTCACGACGAAGAGGAAGCTGAGAAAGGATCTCATCGGAGATGGAGAAGGGACGAGGAAGTCGCGACGACATCTTATCGAAGATGGAGAAGAGATGAGGAAGTTGCGACCGAATATTGATGATGAAGGGATCCATGAGATTGGCGACATGTGAAGGAGTAATAAGAGGTGATAAGGTCACGATGGGGTCTCGATAGTTAAGGGGATTCATGGGAATGGTGGCATGTGGAGGAGGGATGAAAGAAGTGGCGATGGAATCTCTTTGGTGAAGGGTGACGTGACCAACGACATGTGAAAGATAAGGAGTTCGGTGAAATATTTTAATGAGGGTGATATTTTTGAAGTGATTTAAAGTTTTGAGTGTTTTGTGGGTAAATATTAACTTTTAGTATTCGATAGGTGTATATAATTGTTTTGAGGGCTATGCCCGTAAATCTCTCATAAAATTATATATATTATTTATATTTAAGTTTACAGGAGTATTTTTTGATATTCTATATGAATTTGCTTATTACTATTATTATCATTATTTTTAATGTATGAAAAAACAAAGCTTTAAGATGGAGTTGCTCATGAGGCATGTCAAGTGAACATATGTGAACCATAGGTGGAACATCAAATGGTGAAACTTGAGGAATTGCCAACTTAGGATGTTGTCATTTAATATCGCTACTTTTTAGTAAGTTGATAAGGAGTTTTCATTCCTTGGACAAGGATATACTAGTTACACTATTGACAATAAAGTAATGAAAGTTAAATTGAGTCAAAGCATTTGGTGTAATTTTTCCACTTCTTTGAAGTTTTTTTTTTTTTAATTTTTAAAATTAAGATTATAGGCATTTGATTTTAAAATTATAAATTTATTTGTTGTTGTTGTCAAGAAACTTTTACATGACATACCTTTGAAGCTTTACAATTATATTTTCTGTGGAAGATTAATTATTATGTAGAAATCGAACATAATGAAATTATTGTGTTAATTTTCTCAAGTTTACATTTAATTTTTTTTATTGTAGGGGAAAGTCAAAGATATTGAACTGAAAGGGCACACAGATAGTGTCGATCAACTTTGTTGGGACCCCAAGCATGCTGACTTACTTGCGACTGCAGCAGGGGATAAAACAGTTCGTCTTTGGGATGCTCGTAGTAAGTGAAGGCAGTGCTATACATACTTTTTGTTGATAGGTTGTGTTTGGGTTGCCTTAATAGTACATACTATGATAATGCTTAAAGCATTTATTCTCCTATTGTATGCATTATGAAGCTACACTATGTATGCTGTATTTAAAATTTCATGTGTGAGCCTATTTTAGCAACAATTTAACTTGTTTGTGTTGGTTATGTATGCATGGTTATAGTTGGTTCTAAGTTTCATATAAAATTCATGATGCTAGATCAATTATGCATTTGCTTTTTAAGTATAATTCTACAAATTTGTCACAAAAATTATAAATCTTACTAATAGGTCTCTGTCATCTTTCTTAACATCAAGATATGTCAACTATTAGAATACACCCTATTCTACCTCGTCCTTTCCTTCCCCATCCCTATCTACCTATCTTAAAAGAACTCCTATGCCCTCGTAATGACTGGATGTGTTTGCTTGCCATCTTGGATTCACCTCTCCCTCTCTCTTCCATTCTCCTTATTTCTTTTCCTCTATTTGAAGAACTCATACCCAATGGAACTATTCCGAATCCATCTCTCTATTTACTTATTGTTTCTCTCTATAAGTACATCACAGACGGGGGATGATTGCAACAACCCGCCTCCCCCAATCACTCATATTTGTTTTTCTTCTTCTTGCTTCCCCCTTTATCTTTAGAAATAACTCACCCTACCGATACAACCATGGTCCCTGGTGCATTTTATCTTTGAATACTCTACCTTCATTTAATTCTTTCTTGCTCCCTTCAGCTTTTTCTTAATCCCTTCATACACCTAAATATGTTTGGTTTTTCTGTTTTGGTTGGCGGCCCTCTATCCTCTTCCCCTTTTACTCTTTTGTGATCTTCCATATCTTTTTTTCCCATTTCTCTTTGCTTCTGCATCTGAAAAAGCTCCCTAAAAGGCTAAAATGACCCAACTGTGATAGGTTGGAGCTGTTGATGTCCGCTACCAGCCTACCACCTATAATCCCTCCTTATATTCTTATTGTCTCTGCATCTCTATCTCTCCCTTACACACTAAAAGCCCTCCCACACAACCAATCAACCATGGTTGGTTGGGGCTAGAATGGAAAGTGACGGAGTGATGAAGCTTTAGTCTTTGTGATTGTTAGTGGAATTGGGAAGGAGATTGAATTTGTAAGTTATGAGTTTGAAAACTTTTGTTCTGAAGTTACTCGGACTAATGAATGCAATATTCTCTAGAACTATTCAAATCTATTAACTTTCAGCACAAAAAATTTGAAATCAGACTGCCACTTCAGTAACAGACTGGTTGATAACCTTCCCAAAATCATTCAGGTTCTGCAATAAGAACTTGAAAATGCCACTTCATTACATTTTATGCCCCCTTATAATTCTTTGTTGGAGATAATTTTGTTTTTATGTGCATCTGTGGGCAAATATAAGCATATGTTAAAAAAAAACTTCAAATATCTGCCAAATGGCTTATTTACTTTGGCATATATTGATGCATGTGTTTTTTTCCTCCTGCATACCAACCTGGCCTAGATGATGCCTTATTTAATTAGGTTGATAATGAATAAATGTCATGTTCTATTTTCCTCACCCTTATCCATCTAAAGCTCATTATTTCTTTCCTTTAAGTGTATATGGAATTTTGTCATAGAAAGGAATAGTCACTACTTCGTAAAGTTTTATCTTTTAAAACCTCGATTTCTAGACTAACTTATGATTCTCTAGGTGGAAAATGCTCTCAACAGGTTGAACTAAGTGGAGAAAACATCAATATTACATACAAACCTGATGGGACACACTTGGCTGTTGGAAACAAGGTATTGAGATTATAAGTCTTGTATGGTCTTTTTCGCCTCATGTTTTTCTCCCAAGCAAAGGTAAACTAATATAATGAACAAATTATTATTTTTATATAAGTTGCGGGGCTATATTATATATATCAATAAGTCTTGCTAAGAAGAACACACCTAAAAAGTTTTGGGACCAATTTCATCTTTTACTCTACATCTTCTGTTACTGTTGGAGTGGTAAAGAGATTTAAGCCTCTTGAATTACAACGACAGATAATGCTACCTTATTGGCCATTCAAAATACGTGTATGCCAATCAGTAATAATATTGCCACCAATAGGTGAAAAAACAACACTGGAAGGATTGGAGAGCTTGGACTCTTGAAGACAAGATATCTAGATTCTCAGTTGAATGCCGTTGCAAACCATTCTTATTTTAACAAGAGAGCCTAAACTTACATTCCAAGAACCAATCTTCATAAGATAAAAAGCAAAGCACTTCCCCTAAAACTGAAATCATCTAAGAGCTTACAAATAACTCTTAGCAGGGTGTTCAATCTATAGAATTCCACAATCTTTTACAAGGGCTGAAAGTCTACTTTCAGAAAAATCATCATGAGATATATTACGATCATTTGTACGAGGTAAGGAGATGAGCTTGAAAGAGAAGAGTGGATTTTTTTTCTTCTAGAATTGCCATTCTGTGTTAAGCAAAGTGCATTGATTTAGTGATGAGGACATCCATAGAAGATTCCAGCACACGTACCATCGGAGAGGTCGTCGAGCGACGGTCATGATTCAGAGTCTTTATTTTTGATGTTTTATTTTATTCATGCAATTTCTATTTCATGTTTTTCCTTTTGTACCCCTGTGAGGGAGTTAGTGTTTATTGTAGCCCAAGGGCAATGTTGTCTTTTTTGACTTTTATTTTCGGTTAGCCTATATATAGGCTTTATCATTGTATTTGGTTTTTTAGTCTTGATGAATGAAAATTTTCCTTTGATGTTCTCTTTGTGAGTTCACCCTCCTCGATCTCTTAGTGAGTTCGTTGGAGAATATAGATCTCTTTGTGAGTTCTAGTTTTCCGCCAAACTAATTTTGTCTTCGAGAAGTTCGCCGTTGTTGAGGAAATCCGAATTGGAGATATTGGAGGTGAGTGAATCTGTGGCATATTGAATCCCTAGAAGAATTGCCCTTTCTTTCCCCCCTAGGATCCTTGCCGCCGCTCCCCCTCCCCTATCAACCCGCCGGCCAGCAGCAGCCCGACCACCCACTGGGATGATGCCATCATCCCGTCGGCCAGCCCAACAACTCCATCCCGCCGCCTCCCCCTTTAGATCCTCCCATCATTTGAATTTTAAATCTCTTGAGTTATTTACTTTCCTAATTTGTGCTTATTCAATTAGGAAAGTCCATTAAAGAGATTAAAGCCAAATTCGAAATTCAAATTTGCTTCCCTCTCATCTTAAATCTTTTGGGAAGTAATTAAATCTGAAATTAGAATTCAGATTTAATTAAATTATTTACTTAAACTTGGGCCCCACTCTCATAACTCCTAAATCCCTCTCCCCCTTTTCATATGGCCGGCCCCCTTAATGGGCTCTCTCTCCCTTCCAAATTCCATTAATAGCACCACAAATTCAGCCCAAATCTTCTCCCCTTTGTTGCCGCCTCTCCCCTCCTTGGATTAATTTGAATTTCAAATTAAATCCCTCCCTTAAACCACCAAAATCTGAAATTCATTCATATTTCCTGCACTTTCAATTCAGCCCCCTCCCCCATAGCCGAACCCCCCTAGCCCTCACGCCGGCCAACCTTCTCCCCCCAAGCCGCCACCTCCTCCCCCCCACTTCTTCTTGGATGCTACCTCAACTCCTGCCAAGAATGCATGGCGGATCCTGAGCTTGAAGGCGGACTTGTGCTTGACGTCTACGGGAATATTCACGTACTTTGATCCCCATTCTTTGACGTGGGGTTTGACCACGACGACGACACAGTTGGAGGTTACTTGGATCGAATCCTCCCCACCCTTGTGCACGTCATCGACGGACAATTCACAGATTACGAGTGGATCATCGAAGGTCATCATTCCTTGCCACCTCCACATCCTACACCTCCCTCTCCACCTCTATGGATCTCCGGTGCCGTCTACCACGGAGTGATCTCATTTCTTGTGTGATTCTTCTTCCTCCGACAACCTTAGACATAGAAGAGTGATTTTAAGCCTCAAGGTGAGACAATCGCTTTGTTAACTGCCGGATTCTAGTTGGCTATTCATTTTCATTATTTGTGATTGAGGTTGTTATTTTATAGATCTTACAAACTTAGTTGTAACGACTTGCCTAGACTTTGTTAACTTCTAAGATCTTTTTGAATTGTCAAATTTGAGAAGCATTAAATTGTATTATCATTACTCTAACAAAATTTTATTAATTTCTAAGAAACAATTCCTGTTTTCACATCATTTAGCCAATAACTGCAATGTAGATTCACCTGTGATTGTTAGTCCTGTACACTTTTGGTTGTGTGGCACTTAGATTTCGCATAGCACACATGCTCCTCATTTGTGTTGCCTTCCTCAGCAGATCTTCCACTTGTATTATTATTATTATTATTATTTTTTATATCCACTTGTATTATTTGTTCCATGCAAATGAAATTGTATTCTGATATCTAAAATGTACTAATATCAATGTGATTAAGCTCGTTCTCTCTCTGGTCTAAAATGCACTAAATTGCATATTGAATCTAGTTCTGCCAATAAAGTATAAGATGAAAGAATTTGTTTTCCAGCCTCATAAGTAAATTTATCTGTTCTTAGCTTGAATAAAAGGTATTCTAATTGGAACTTCTTCTTGGGAATACCTTTTGATATTTGGTTTGCATTATTGGTCTTCTTTTAATAAGGAATATACTGCAGCCAAGATAGAAGTTCTTCTTTTGTTATGTCTGTTTGAAGTTGTTATCTTGCAGGAGGATGAACTAACAATATTGGATGTTAGGAAGTTTAAGCCAATACACAGGCGCAAGTTCAATTATGAGGTGATTGTCACTTAAAATATGCCTTCTTTGGTTTTTTTTTGCATTTGTTTACTTAGAGATGCTGTTTTACTACTGAACAAGTTTCTTTCTGTGGGTCTGCTTTTGTCCAACCTTGGGTTCCCTGGTATTTTTTAAGTTATTTAGATGTTGATGCTTCATTTCTACTTGGTGTTCTCCACAACAGATCAATATCTTTGGATATGTCTAATCTTTCTCTTGTGAGAGTCTATCATCTTCATATATAAATGTCTGTGAACTTTACAATTGTGCAGCAACTTCATGTATATTTCCTTCTTTCATCCTCCATTGCAAACATTTTCTTTCTTTCTTAGGACTTGAATAACGTTACCTACCATCCTACAAGGTTGGAAGTGTGAACTACTACTTCGATTTGTCATTGTTGATTTTTGTGATGCTCTGGTGCTTGTTGGCTGAATATTTTCTGCTGTTAGTGAAATGCAGGATACTAAAAAAAATTGAGTTCCATTACGTATATTAGAGAAACTCTATCTGCAACCTTTAGAGCTTTGCTTTTTTTGGCAACTGAATGTTTTCAATGTTTGACATGCTTACAGGTAAATGAGATCGCATGGAATACAACTGGAGAGCTATTCTTTCTTACCACCGGAAATGGTGACAATTTTGTGCATTTCATATTTTTCTTGGATATGCAGTTAAAATTAATAGCATTATCCTTAAAAATGAAAATATTAATTAGATTCAGTCTGCAAGTCTCTATCTTCTTTAATTTTTCTTACTGGGTATGGTAACATTTTTCAGGCACTGTTGAAGTGCTTGCCTATCCATCTTTGATTATTCTTCACACCTTAGTGGCTCACACGGCTGGCTGCTATTGCATTGCCATTGACCCAGTTGGAAGGTACGTCTAAATGTTTATAAATTGGGTAAAAATGTCCATAGTAGTCCTTATTAGAATGCCAACTTTTTTTTTTAATGAAATGCCTTGAAGCTGATAGACATCTTGAATGATACTAGATATCTAAGCCTAGTTAGTATTTACTTAATCTGCACCATGTTTGTGTAGATTAGGCAAATGGGTACACATCCTTTTTTTTACAAAATTTACTTAAATGTCCAATTTTTCTTTTATGAAATGTCTATCAATTTTATGATGTGCGATCATGCTGTACATGATTATGTGCTATATTGATTGCGGACTTTCTATCACAGTATAGCATCATAATGCGTCACGTTTGATTTTCAAATCTTTCAAGATGATTTTTATCCACATTAATTCACATATCCCAAGAGCTGTAGATCTAAACTCAACTGATGATCTTCATATAGCCAATGTTCTCAAAGACCTAAGTGCAATACTATGTGTATGTATTCCTTTTTGCTTCAGTGTGTAAAGCGCAAAGTGAAGCGAAGTTTTATGTAGTAGGGTGCTTAGGACTTGTATGTTATATATGCATATTTTATGTAAATGCAATAATTATTTAATTTGCCAAACTTGAATTACATTTGGTGATAATTTTTGCCAAATTCGATACTAATAATTGGCTATTTGAAAGCAAAAAGTATAATGAAATATATAAATAATGAAGTGATAAAAGAATACCTAAAAAACAAGAATACTCGAGATTGTGTAAAAATTGGAGACTGAGAAATAGATGTGGCGCAAAATGAGAGTGGGAAGGTAAAGCATCGAGAAACATTCTCGGGAAGAAGCTTATGAGCAGGAAGCTACTAATAAGAACAATAAGAATCAGTGAATATAATATAAGAAAACTAGTAGGCGAGAGAGTGCAAAGAGAAGAACCACCAAGAAATAAGTTGCTCCGGTGGGAGAGCCTCAACTGCTAGAAATAATGGGGTGAAGTGAATGTTCGTGACTAGTTATGATGATAGATGTTGAAATAAACCATAAAGTGATTGCCTTGCTTTTCCCTTGAAATCTTTGTTTTGGTTTCACAATTTTTTCTGCATTATCCGCCTTTGATTAAGTCTCACGAACAAAGCCCCATACTTCCTTGGCAATGTCAAATAACATAAATGTGTCATTGATCTCTAGAGCCATGTTGTTTCACAACTAGGTGATCACCATTGAGTCTTCTTAATTCCACATCTCAAATTTGGGATCTCTTCGACTTGGCCCAATACCAAGCAGATAACTCAACTTACCTCTTCCTTTCGAAATGATACAAACAAGCAGATACAACTTTAAATATTTTTTTCATTCAGATTATATGTGGCCTGTATGTTTAGAAAATCTCTTGTGGACTGCTTTGATATGCTTTCTATCATACTTTTCTGAGAGGCACTGGAGGCTTTGACCGATTCTGACGTGGCTCCAATGAAGATCATAACACTCGATTCCTATGGAAGGTTTGGCTGGTTGAGGAAGGATGAACAAATCCTAGAAAGCCTACAGATTTGAGAAAATTTTAAATTCTATTCCAAATCAAAATGGCTGCATGACACCTATATAAAACAGGTTACAAGAACTATAATAGGTAAGTACTTTACATCAAATCACAATTGATTATAAGGAATAAATAAACCAAACAAGAAACTATTCATTTAGGAATAAGGTGGCATGAATTGGATATGGACAGCATGGGTTAGCATTGATTGAGCTGGCAATTTTCCTGGAATGGAGAGGACAGCTTAGCAATTTCATGGAACAAAGGACACGGGCTGGCACGGTGCAAGAATGAGATGATTTGAATTATAAAGCATTCAAAAGAGAAAGAGGCATGTAATTTTCAGCATTGAGTAAGAGCACACTGTAGATTAGATTCCATATAGAGCAAATACCAATTTTCAACAGACATCAAGGCGTGATATCGTAAAACTATGCTGTTTAGCCTGGAATAAAGTCACAATCACTCTTACTAAGATAAGTCCTTTTTCAATGTGTTGTCCATGATTGTCAAGCAATCAAGAAAGTTCACATGCAACATAGTGATTTTTATCTCTATTTTCTTGTGCAAATCAAACTTCTTACATTTCATGTTCTTAAAAAGCAAGTCAGCTTAAAACAATACTTAACTAAATGGTGCAAGTCCTTGTATGCTTATGCTGTGTTTTGTGAGATAAGGTCTTTGCTAGTTTCACAGGGACGGACAGTGTTACACAAGTTCATTCTGTTGTCATGAAGCATGAAGTCGTGCATTAACAGTAGGGTTTTTTGTTGGGTGTCATGAATTACTGGCTAATCAGGTTATTGAAAAAAGCACAGAAGTTAAATATTTCCTTGACGAAGATTGATAAATAACATGTGTTAGCAAGTGGATTCAGATGGTGGGACCATGTGGTTTTAGTCAAGGAACGCTAATGACACTAGCATTGGCTGTGTATTTTCAATCCCTTTTTGAGTTTGCGGCCATTGGTGTAGCTAAGTGACAAAATGCGGTCTCTATACCGTGCTTCTTGATTGATCTGCCCTTTCTTGATGGTCCCCTAGTTCAAATTATGCATCATTCTTTTGCTAATCATTGGTTGCTAAGATTGTAGCTTCTGTAGATTCATGGTTATTGACACTAGAAAGTGGTGCAGTTGTAGTTTCTGAACAATATAAACATTGATATGTTGGCAGACAGTGGATAGCTTTGGCTAAAGCTTTTCTATTCTTTCAATATTGTTACTCTTCTTGCTTATTATGTATTTATGTTGATAATGAATTTTTATATAAGCGTTTCTGTTTGTTATAGGCTATGTATTAATATTTGGATAAAACTGAAACATCATATGGCAATGAAAATGATACTACCACCAAACATTGCAGATACTTTGCCGTTGGAAGTGCTGATTCTTTGGTTGGCCTGTGGGACATATCAGAAATGCTGTGTGTACGAACATTCACAAAACTTGAGTATGCTTCACAAACTTGTAATTTGATTATATCTCTCATTGAACTGCATGTCAAGGTTTCCCATGAGAGTCTACTTTAGTTTTGGAACTCACGGGTATGGAAATTTGAAATTTTAATGGTTTTTCAATAAATGTGTAAAGTGAATTATAGAAATTATTGGATTTATTGGATAGAACCACATAATACATGCTCCCTCATTAGACTCAGAGTAATATGAGTAATGCAAAACTTTTTTTTTTTGGGTTTGAAATTTTGTTCAGGGAAACCCAAGTTTTTTTTACATCTCTAAGCTCATGGAAGTGACTCTTCATGATTTTTTTTTTTTTTTTTTTTTTTTTTTTTTTTTTTTTTTAACTTTTAAGGTGGCCTGTGAGAACCATCAGCTTCAACTACACAGGAGAATTTATTGCTTCTGCCAGTGAGGATCCATTCATTGATATTGTACGTTTCAGTGCTTCTAACCTTGTTTTCTATGTATATTGTATAGATAAGATCATTATTTGACTTGTACCATCTTCCTGCTGCAAGTCAAATGTGCAGACTGGGCGATCTGTTCATCAGATTCCATGCAAGGCTGCAATGAACAGTGTGGAGTGGAACCCGAAGCACAACTTGCTTGCTTATGCAGGAGATGATAAGAATAAATATCAGGCTGATGAAGGTGCTTATTAACTTCTTTTCTTCATCCTTATTTTTTGGGAAGATTATCATGAAGATCTAGCAATTCTAAGGCTTTTTATGCTTGCTTTATGAATCCCCATTATATAAACACGATGAAACTAAGGAAAAAAGGAAGATAGTAACTAAAGCACCAGCTTGCATGAAAACTGAACGAAATTTGTCTTTAGGTTTGTCTGTTCAAGTATTTTTTTTCAGGTCATGAGTAGATACGGATGCTGGCAAGATTCAAAGTAGTGGATATCAGGTTGAAAGTAATAGGGATATAACTGCCAGTATCAGTAGCATCATTAGCTACATATTAATTACTTTTTGGTACTTGGTGTAAAGAAGGCTTTGCATTGTAGACCTGGATAGGGGGCCGGTTTTGTTGTTTGAATCCTTGTCATTTATTCCTAGAACAATATGCAGTTTTTGAGACTGATTTAGGATATATCTGGATTTATAGTAGGGGTGTTAAAACGGGTCAACGGGTTGTGTCTGACTCTAAATTAACTCGAATCAAATCCGATCAATCCAAACCCGACCCATTTAATAAACTAGTAGAAAATACGGACCTGAATCCGATCGGCTAGCAACTCGAATGACTTGAACCTGACCAGATGACACGTTTTGATTTCATTTTTAAAATTTATTTTAAAAAATAAATTTAAATTAATTAATAAAAAAGAGAATTATACTAAAAAAAAGAAAAAAAATTTAAATCAGTCAAAATTGGGTTTAGTGGTCAAGTCGAACCTGACTTGTTTAATAAACGGGTGGAATTTCGGACATAAACCCGACCCATATATTAAACGGGTCAACTCGAATACGGATTTTTTGGGTTGGATTTGAGTTGGGTTGGCGGCTAGCATGGAATAAAGTCACAATCACTCAGTGAATCTATGGTTTTATTTTTTACAAGCTCAAGGTCGACTTGATGGGTGAGTACTAATGCCTTCATTGATTCAAAATTCTTGAGTAAATTCTCAATCTTGCTGGCTGGAACTAAAGTCACTGGCTTGATACTTAACAACTTCGAATTCGACATTTTGGCAGATCCCGTGATATTTTGATTTGAACCTCTCGATCAACTTCCTTTTATTCTCCATTTGAACTCTGAATGACATCAATATACTTGCCACCTCCTACAACTAGCAGCTTCAAAAGGTTGGCAGCTACCTAGTTCCAAGAAGATGACAACTTGCTTGGCTCAGTCGCCATATTACTAAGGAGTTTCTTTGTAATATTCATTCAAGAATCAAAATGATTAAGTCAAAAAGCAGTTGTTGGCTTGTAGCTAGTATATATATTATTTTTCCATTTTTTATTTTTTCTGGGAGAATTGTTTGAAGATCACTCACATTGGGATGGACACCTTACCAATAGCTTTGTGCTTCTTGCTTTCATCATCCTTCTTGTTTTTTGATAAACTGGGACCGGCCTAGGTGGGCTGGACAAACTAGCCCAGGGGGGCTGGTCTATTTCTCTACGACACTGTAGCCGCCGGCCCCCTTGTGGGGCCCACTACTTGAATATGAGGGGGCAGTTTAGGCAGATTATTATTTAGGGAGGGGCTGTTTAGTACATTAGGATTGTATTTGTATGTTTTAAATTGATGAGATTTTCTAGGGTTAGGGTTATCTGATTATTTGCTGAATTTTGAGAGTTCCTAGGGTTTGCTTGGGCTCTAGCCACCGGCTAGAGATTGGGAGAGACGGATCCTCCTCTCCCAATTGAGGATCCATTATATCTTGTTCTTTTCTTTAATCTTTTATCAATAAAAAAGTTTGTTTCTGATTCTTTCTTTCAAATTATTTTCCAATCTGTTTTTGCAAGTGCTGAAATTCAAACTCAGCAAAGGAAATTCTTGTGCCTACAAGCATTTCCTATCATTTTTCTCTTCCTTAATCTTGTTTAATGGAGGTTTATTGAGGATTCATCGGTAACTTTGCATTCTTCACTATCCTTATAACTCTCCAGCAACATTGCGATGATTTTCTTGTGGTATGCATCTTTAATTTCTTAGAGTTAAGGTCAGCTCTTCAGAAGAAAATCATTAAGTACTTATAAATTAAATAAATTAATGTGTTGACCACCTATCAAATTCATACAATCAATCATGGTTAATATTACTGTTCATCAACATTGATGCTTTTATTTTCTTGTTCTTGTATGATTTTTTCATGATACAAGAGAATTGTGGAAATCGACGCTCAATGTCACCTAAGTTGAGTTAGATCGGTCTCAATTCTCATGTATCATATTAAATTGAGTTTAGGTCAACTTGACCAGCTAAAGAGGATTAATTCACCGCATAGAGAGCTAATATGCTAACCCAAAGCAAAGACTTTGGAAACTTTATTAGATCTCGGTAGTGCAAAGTGGAGCCGGTAATGACTTAGCTTGAACTTGTCTTTGGAAATTTTTATGAGTTTTTTATGTTATTAGAAAGCTTCTAGTCAAGCTATATGTTTATTCATGTCACAACAAGCATTTATTAAGCCTTACTATGCAATTTATTTGTACTACTCAAATGTTTTTGAATTCAAATTCAAAACTTCAAAATTAAAATTGCATGTCATTTTCAAATTCAGAAGCACTGGTTGGCTTTTACATGGGCATGAGTTTAAATTTAAAATTAATGTGTAAGTGCTACGTCCTAGTTCCATGTACTTGTGTTTAGTATATATATCACCCATCAATATCATTGTGTTGAATAATAATATATTGTTACATAACTCTTAATTAAAATTTAATATTAATAGTTGACATTTATTAAATATGATGTGATAGTTGCATTATGTATCATATTCAAATTTGAAGGTAATGACATCATATGAATATAAAATCAATGATATATATGATGTGGTAATTAAATATTAATTAAGTTAATTATATTCAAATCTCTTCATATCCAAATTTAAAGACAATTACATGATGCGATTGCTAGCTTATAAATGTAGTTGAATTTGATCTAAAAATTTGTCATGAATTTATATAAATAAAAATGAAGATTTCATCCAATAATCCAGATTTTTGTTTACTTTCGACTTTCGTCCTGCTTCTTGAATCAAATTTTTAGTGCAAAATTTTTAATTTTTGTAATAAAAATTTCTTGAATTATTTAGTACCAATGATCTTGATCAATATAAACTTGCATTTTTTTTAATGATCTTATTTATTGGTTTTCTGGAATGAATATTGCAGGTGTCTTCCGCATATTTGGTTTTGAGAGTACTTGACTTGGTAGGTAGAACTGGAGCTTCTGCCATGCAATTCTTTTTGCCTGTGTCCGGATCTGTTATAATGGTTCTGTTTTATGAGATAAAGAGTCTTTTGTAAATTTTGAACATGCAGATATTTAGCTGTAGGTAATTTATATTCCTTTTGTATGAATACATAAAGAATTCAAGCATATTTATGCATTTTGGTTAAATTTAAATGATTATGGATCTCTTAGCTGTTTGAGCATACTATGTTTGCTTAGATATTGAAATAATTTCTTTCTCCTACTTTGTGCTACATCTGAACATCTAGGTTTGTTGGTTTAAGTGTATCATATTTGCTCATACAATCATCACCTTTGTCATGCATCATATTAGGATCATAAGCATCCACTTTGGTGATCTTTTTAAGTGTACAGATTAGGGAACCTGAACTCAGATCATAAAGTCCTCGTAAAATAAAGGTGAAATCTCTCAATAGTGTCTTATTCACAATCCAATACGCCTTGTGAAAATTTGTGTGGGAACCAAAGTGTTAAAACTCTGTTCGATGACCTGAAAGAAAGAAGGGTCCGCAGATGGATCGGGGTGCGAATTTTTGGAGCCCATAATAATATTCAAGAAGCTTTTTTGAAGGGATCATAAGTTTTAAAAAATAAGATTTATGCTTGAGATATGAGAGAGAGCACCTCAAATGAATTGAGAATTAAAAAAAGATTACAACTAAAGATTATCCTAAATTTATTCCATTTTAATCAAAGGCTTCCCTTATCAAAATCAAAGTTGTGACATAAGTCTTCGTGACAAAAAACCTTGATATGTGTAAAAAAATATTGCAAGAAACAATCTTAATTTTCAACATACTGAAAAAAATAATATCGTATCTCATAATAATGTTCATTCAATCAAAAATAAGAATAGGAGTATCAGATTTGGGTCCAATTAAATTAGTCCGACACAGGTATGATGAACTTTGAACTGGACTCATTTAATAAACGGGTAGAAAAGATGGTATCAAATCCAATCAGTTAGCTACCCGAAGTTGAAAGGATTACCTGTTTTAATTAATTTTTTTATTATTTTCAAATTAAGAAGATTATACTAATATATAAAAATTAAAAAGGCTTAAATGAGTCATTTTTAAATCAAATTTGGGTTGTCGGTTGCGACTCCGATATGGAACTTTTATCAGGTCAGGACACCTGACGTAGCTCTACATCCGGAGGTCAATAATAAATCGCCATGTGCTCTTACTTTTTACCGCGCGGCTCGACGATGCGACCCGGAGCGGAACCCGATATTGCTATGTTCGTGTATTGCTAGGTATTGCTAGGTATTACTTGGCAATAACGTATTACTTGGCAATAACGAGAAGTACCGCTCTTTCAAGACCAATACCGAGCAATACATAGCAAAATCGGCGTATTGCTAGGTATTGATCTTGACAAAATGGTATTTCTTATTACCGAGCAATACCCTGATCTGCACAAATCAGCTAATACATAGCAATACCGGGTTCCAGTCCGGGCCGGGTCGTCAGGCCGCGCGGTAAAGAGTAAGAGCACGTGACGATATTTTATTGACGTCTGAATGTAGAGCTACTTCAGGTGTCCTGAACTAATAAAAGTTCATCCGATATGGCCCTTCTCTTGGTAGCCCTTTACATTTGAAAATCTTAATTTATAATTAAATATTCCTCCTACTCAAAGCTGCCCTAAGCCACGTCCTAAGAAAGTCGTTAACATTGACATGTTATAGTCTCAGACCTAATGTAAAAACCATTTGATAGAATCCACAATTGATTTATGCCTCGAATTAGGCTTTATTTGGGACAGTTTTATTATTATTTTTTAGGGGCGGATCTATCTTTTTTTTTTAAGATGAGCAAAAAAAATTTTTTTTTTGTGGGGGATGGGCAAAGATGCTTAGGATTTTTTATAAGTAGGGTAAAAAAGATTTTTGAGGGGGAGGGCAAAATGCTCAAAATATTCAAAATATTTCAAAATATCCCCTCTAAATATTTTTTTTAAAAAATTTCGAGGGTGGGCTACTTTTTAAAGTAAAATTTTGATACAAAATTTTCTTTTTAAAAAAAAATTTGAATAAAAAGCTGATTTATAAAGCAATACGAAAGCTGTCCCAAACGAAGCCTTAATTGCAAGAGATAATATGAGAAAGAAATAAAATAGAGAGAATGTTTTAAAAAAAGTTAAATTAAGCAATGTTATAACATATTTTTTACTGATTTCAATTACTAGAGGGAGAGAGAGAGAGAGAGAGAGAGAGAGGGAGAGAGAGAGAGTGAGAGAGAGAGAGTGTGATAGAGAAAAAGTATATCATATATAGAGAGAGAGAGAGAGAGAGAGAGAGAGAGAGATGTTAATTGTGCTATGTTCCTGACCTATATCACTATGAAATGCAGATAAAATAGTATAAAAGAAATGCAACGCATTTAAAATATTCAGAGTTATTCGAATGAGTATAAAATAAATGTAAGTGTTTACTTTTTATAGTTTGACTTGAAATAAAATGAATAAAGTATGATGTTCAACGATGGAGACGGTCGATAGTTAGTGAGTGACTATTGTGGCAGCGGCGTCTTGAAGCGGCAATGACGAAGAAGTTACAGTGTAATTGAAAATCAGCGAAATCTAACGATTTCAAATACACTAAATTAAACTATACAAAACACTTCAATTCTTGAAATACCTTTATTTGGAATGCTTTACACTATAAATGCATCCAACCAAAAAACCTCTTATGTTCTTCGATTTGCGCTTACCTACAAATTTTTCTATATATTTTAATTACATTGAGATCTATTTTTGCTAATAAAAGAATTTAGGAGTTACACTTATCAGATTTTGAAGTTTGTTAGTTAGGAGTTTTAACTATCAACTAAGAGGTATTGGGTTCGAGTCTCACGTATGTACTGATAAATTCCATACAAATAATAAATAAATATTTAGATATATAGATTAAAATTTTTTTTATAAATATTAAAATTGACTGAGCCATTTAAATAATATTCATTGAATTATGATAATTTTAATTAAAATGATCTAAAAACCTTAGAACATATATGTTCATAAAAAAAATCTTCAAAGATAAGTGCCTCAGAAGATATTGTTATTCTGAAAATCTCAAAAAGCAAAGTCTCAGAAGATATATATACACCTAAAACCTTAGAAAACATATGCTTTATAAGATATTAAATCATCTAATAATCTTGGAAGGCATAAGCCTTAGAACTTAGAAGGTAGGGGTGTAAGTGAGTCGAGATGGCGGCTCGAGCTCGACTCGTTTATAAGCTCGGGAACCAAAGCTTATCGAGCTCAAGAGTCGAGTTCGAGCTTGTTAAGGCTCGGCTCGTGAGCTTGCGAGTGGCTTGAAATTAGTATTTTGAGCTAATATTTTTATTATACTTTAAAAAAATTAAGTTTGATAGAGTATTCTTTTCTCCCAAAACGACAGCTTCATATAAAAATTCAAAAGTTTTCTCTTAAATACCAATACTAATAAATGTTGGCAGCCTTCTTTCCTCACAAATAATATAATAAAAAGCATTTCCTTTTTTTTCTCCCAAAGGTAGCTTTGTCTCCATAAGTGCAAAATCAGGTGGTAAAATTAGGCGGAAAAACAAAAAACCGGGCGGGAAAACCAAACAAGTGCATGGCTCGATGGGTTGTTAATGTATCGCGAGTCGAGCTCGAGCTCGACTTGAGTTCGAGCTCGAGTTCAGCTCAATATTTGACTCACAAGTAGAGCTCGAACATCCCCTGACTCGAGCTCAACTCAACTCGTTTACACCTCTATTAGAAATTTAGAAGGTACTAATATTCTAAAAATCTTAAAATGATGAAAGACTTAGAAGGTTCATATTTCTTTAGTTTTCTAAAATCTAAAAAAAAAAGTTTCAAAAGTTATAATTTTTTTTTTTTGGGAAATTAGGGGCAGCGCCCCAAACGCACACACAACACATATGTGAGACTTGAACCCCCAACAAACAAACCAAGGAGAGCTATGTCAAAATGTATATTATTGAAATCTCATAAGAATAAAGGTTAGAAGGTATATATATTTTTGAAGATGAAAAGTTCAAATACTTTCAACAAATTGATTGTAAACAAATTAGAAAAAAAAAATTTAGAAAAAAAATGTTCTCTCACTCTGTCTTATAAATAAATATTACTTGTATAGCAAACACTATCAGGAGAATATTGATATAATCTATAAATAATTATTTTCTTCAAAAATTTAGTTTTGCTTAACAAATTCTAATCATATTAAAAAAAACTTGAACATAAAAAAATTCTATAATAAAAAATTCATGTATTTCAAATTATAAAAGAATAATATGAACAGAAAATTATATATATTCAGTCGTTATTAATGTCTCCATGCAATTCAGAAACTGTTTTTTTAATAATTTAGAAAACAGCTAATTCAATGCTCCAAAAAAAAAAAAAAAAAAAATCCCCAAAAAAAAAAAAAAAAAGACAGCATCTGATGTATAGTTCTTTTAAAATAGAACCTATCTCTTTCAAAGCAAATATCTAATAATTAAGCTATTTAGCACTAATTAGTTTCTGGACTCTAGCAGACAGAATCATATACTTTGGTTTCAGGAACCTCCAACAAAGTTTCAGAAGAAATTTTCTGAAAAGTTTCAGCAGTCTGATCAGGTAAAACCTTTATCAGTATTCAAATTCGTTTCTTTATCAGATGATCAAGTATCTCTCTCCTCCAACTTTCGATCTGCTCAAACAAAGCACTTAGAATTTCATTACAGTTTATGAAAAATCTTCTTCAGATTATAGTTTCTAACAAACAAAATCCTGAAAGAAAGATGAGTTTGAATGTTTACTGTAATAACAAATATCAAAATATGATAAGCTTCTTTTGATCTTCTTTTCTATTTTTTTGATGATTTCAGGAGTTTATTGATCAGATCAGGAGAAGATATGGCAGGATCTTTTTCTGTAGAAGAATTTGTTGGTGATGGAGTTCTTAAAGAGTTCATTCCAAAGCTCGTTGAAGAAGGATGGAGTGATGTTCCAACATTGAAGATGATGAGTTCTGATGATATGGAGAGATTCAAACTAACAAAGCAGCAGAAGGTTTTAATTCAATTTCCTTTGTTTTTCTTTTGTATATTAAATAATTTGGAAAGTATGTATATATAGTAAAATTTCCATATGTTTATGAAGGTTTTTTTTTTTCTGTTAAAACTTTTTTTTAATTTATTTTAAAATAAGTGTAATACAATAACTGATGGATTATATATATTAAATTCATCTGAAAATAGATGAAAATTTAATTTATTTCAATTAAAAGAATAAAATTAAATATTTTTGATTATTTTTATGATTTTTAATATAAAAATATTATTTGTATTGCAAACACTCAACGGGTGAATGATATAATATGCAAAAAAAAATTTTTAAAGATCAAATAATTAATATTTCGTATAAATTAAAGTTATTAAAAAAATGAACAGATAATTATGTTATTATTAAATATTGAAGTTCTGTTGTGATTAATGTTGCCATGCAATTAAAAAAGTTTTTTGATAATTTAGAAAACAGCTAATTAAATTAAAAATTAAAAGAGGACCGCTTCTGATGGATAGTTATTTTAAAATTTAAATTTTGAAATAAAAATTATGTATTAATGTTAAATCTACAGCTGTACTCATACAAATTTAATTAAAATAAATTAATTATATAATAATTTATTTATTTTCAAGATATGCTTGATTAAAAATGAAATATATACATCAGAAAATCATTATATAATTTTTATTAGAAGAAGTTTCAAAATTATTGGATTTGCTTCGGGATTAGTATTATATATTAATAATTTTTATTATAGTAATTTTCAAAAGAAAGTGCAGAGGTTACTGTTTTGCTTATGCTTGTTATGTTATTGACATATGTTAGTTATTTGATATGCCGGTATTTTTAATGATAAATTCATAAATGATATTCATAATCTTTTTAGCATAATTTGTTTTTTGAAAGCAGTAAAAAAGCAGCGGCCAAAAGCTGTTCCAAAACAAAGTCGTAATCACAAATACTCAACAAATTCCGAACCTTATTTATAAAAAATCTTTAAAACTCTCATCATCTCAATATGGAAATGACTAAGGCTTCGTTTGGGACAGCTTTCTTATTCTTTCTTAAAGCAGCTTTGAAATACAAAAAAATAATTTTTGGACTAAAAATTGCTTTAAGAAGCAGTAAAAAAATTATCCCAAACGAAGCCTACACTTTCTTACTGCTTCTTCAAGCAGTTTTTTGAATACAAAAATAAACATAAAATTTTAATTTTTTACTAAAAAAACTGCTTATATTTTGATTTATCAGGATGCAATGGAGCTTAGAAAACACTTGCATGATCAATCCCTGATGCAATATGCTGATAAGATGGAAGCATCCAAATTATCACTACAGAATCTTCTTAGCATGAGCAATGCGACCCTCTCCTCACAATTCAATATGAAAAAAGCTCATATTTCCCGTTTCATCAGCAAAGGAAAGAACATATCTTGTGCTTATGAAAGCTGCAATGGAAGCATAAATGGTTCAAAAAAAGGCAACCTACAAACTCTAGATTTGAATGCAAAATCAACTTTAGATTTGAAGCTCAATGAGGGGCATATCTTTAAGGGAACCGTTTCGGCTAAGCCGGCAGGTTCGAAGCTATGTGGTTGTATTCGAACACCTCCAATCGTCGAAGATGTAGCTTCATATTCTTCTATAGCAAACGTAGCAGTGCAGAAGCAAACTTCTGAGTATAAAGTTGGTGTGGAGAGTAAGGTAGCTTCAAAACTTCCAACAATGAAAGCTTCGGATTTATGGAGGGAGAAGGCAGCTATTTTGTTGTGTATTCGCCGGCCAGGGTAAGTAGGAACTAACTATGTTTTGTACTACAACAACAACATCAAACCTTTGTCTCACTACGTGGGGTCGGCTATATGAATCTTTTTCCTCCATTGTGCCATGTTAAAAGTCAAATTCTCGTTTGAATCTAATAAAGAAATATCATTTCTAATATTCTCTAACCAAGTCTTTTTAGGTCTACCTCTGCCTTTCTTAACATAACTCAAATTTAATACATTTACTTTCCTAACTGGGTCATCGAAAGGCTGCCGTTAACTATGTTTTGTACATGAGAGTAAATTCTCTTGATGCTAAATTGTCTTGTCCAGATGCATTATGTGCCGAGCTGAAGCACACAGGCTTTACTCCAGGAAACCTATATTTGATGCATTAGGAATTCAGCTTGTTGCTGTTCTTCATGAACAAATTGAATCCGAGGTGATCTCTAATTGCCTTTTTTTTCTCAACTTTGGAGCAACTTTCATGAAGAACATGAAATTTTATACTCTTCTGATGTTTCAGGTGAAAGAATTTTGGCCTCATTATTGGGGTGGTGTTGTTCTTATAGATCAAAAAATGGGTTTCTTTAGAGCTCTTGGAGGAGGACAGCTGCTCAAAGACAGTTTTTTAACTGGTTTTGTTTTGAATTCTCAAGCAAAGGCCAACTATAAGGCTGCTAAAGCTACAGGATTTGAGGGAAATTATAGAGGAGAAGGTCAAATCAAAGGTGGGATGTTTATAGTTAGGAAAGGAAGAGGAGGTATTGCATATCAGTTCATTGAAAGGAATTTTGGTGATTGGGCACCTATTGCTGAAGTGGTGGAGATTTGCAATCGGATAAAGGTTTTTTTTTTCTTTTTCTAAGCAGCTAATTTTAACTGATTTATGATTTCAACCAGTTATTGATAAATACTTTTTCAATTTAAATCTAAGTTTTTTTTTTACAGAATGAATTGCAAAGCCATGGGGAATAGATGAGGTCAGAGGAGAGTGACGTTGCAAGTTCATATGTTGATGATTGTGATTGTTATTACAGATCTGTTGCTGATATATCTTTTGATTTCATTTCTTTTTAATGTGATTATTTGCTTGGTAATGTAAGAATGATACAGAACCTTGAGTGACAAGTACTAATGCAATTATCTCTTCTTTATATGTGGAATGAAGCCTTCTCTACCTAGATCTAAAGAGGCTTGATCATGTAAAAATTTCAAATTTAATTCACCAGAATTTTAGTAGTTGGAGATCAAATCTAAGGGCATTGACCATGCATCCATCCATAATTCCATATGCCATAGCAAAAAGGGAATTTTTTTCCTTCTATTGTAAGAGCTATAGTTTCCATGAGAGTTATCAGAACCACCCAGTTTAACTAAGGTTTCTATACATGACCGTTATAGATAATTCTGAGATTGGTAAGGGTGACATCCAATAACATTCTGGAGTTACTCACAATCACATTTGTCCATTTGATTTTCAGTGATTAAGAGCAAAAAACTCATAAAAATCAACAAAGTTTTGACAAAAGTTGATGGCTTTGATTCAAACTTTATTATGGAGATATGCATGGAACTGGAAATAGAAGCAGCATTAACAATATTTTCTGCTACCAGTAAACATTTTGATTAAACCTTTATAATGGAGATATGCACAGAACTAGAAACAGAAGCGCCATTAATAATATATTCTGTTACCAGTAAACATTTTATAATGTTTGAGTCGAGTTCTTAAGACTTAAAAATTAAAACTATACCATCTTGAAACAAAATGAAAAACACCAAGTTATTTCAACCATATTTACTTGTGTTCTCTTTCTGCCAAAAAAAAATCCAAGCAAAATTTGCATATGCTGCTTTAAAAAGCCATAAACTCTTAAGTGTTCTGCAACTAAGAGATTACTGCTATATATATCACAAAGATCTCATCACAGATACCTCAGTTTGAAAACAATAACCAATAAAACACAAAGACAAGCCTATTGTTGATGAGTCTTTCCAGACTTTGCTACTGCAAAGTCTAATCAAACCAAAAAGAATAATCAGATCATTCTACTATTTAATTCATCCGTAAGTCTCACAGATTTAGTGTTGCACGACAGAGACGAACAAAAAATTGATGGTTGCCTATAAGCAAAGTTACATGTAAGAGTGAGAGCTCAATAAATCAAACATCAAACCTCGTAGCTTCAAGGAAAGGGTTGTCTGGCTCCAGCCATGTATGCCATCAAATCCGCTGCGCCAAAAGTTACCCCTAATATTAGATGATAACTCAATCTTCAAACTTTATAAAAATGAATGCATGATTCTGCTTCTGTTGTCCAAAATATGCATTGAACACATTTCTTGACTCGGGCTTCAGACGTAAGCTGAGCTCTATGAGCTAGCTCGTCTCGACACGATTCGTTAAATTGCAAGCCAGTTCATTTAAAAAATATAAATGTAAAATATATTAACTATAAAATTATTAAAAATATTTAAATATTATATCTCAATTTTTCATATCAGAAGATTCTTTATTATTTTTTATCTAATTTTTCATTTTATCGATTTATTTTAATAATTACTTGAATTATAAACATTTTCACTATTTCATAATAAATGAGTCAACTCATAAAATTAAGCTTGATCTCGAGTTCAAACTATATTAATTAATTAAGCTCAAGCTCAAATAAGATGTGATTCGTGTTTGGCTTGACTTGTTTACACTCTTATCTTTTAATTTACACAGCTAGAAATGAGCATTTTTTTAATATTATGTTATAGCACATTTATTAGATGGAGAAATACCCCCTTTAAATTGATATTGAATAAGAAATGGCTCATTGCAATATTGAATTCACATTAATTCAATGTAAAAGAAGTCTCTGTGAACAAAGGATTTTTTTACATTAGAAAGGGCACATTTATATAAGTGATTTATTTTTATTATATTGAAATATTATACAGCCTTAAGCCCATATCTTTTTGCTTTAGTCATGGATGCTCTCACTAGACATTTGCAAGGGGTTGTACCCTAGTGTATGCTTTTCGCTGATGATATTCTTCTTGTTGATAAGAATAGAGAGAGAGTTCAAGGTAAACTTGAATAATGGAGGTCAACTTTAGAGTCTAAAATTTTTTGTTTGAGTAGGTCTAAAACTGAATATATGGAGTGTAATTTTAGTAGTAATAGATCTAGTGGGGGATTGTGACTTTGGGCGATCAAGTCATTAATAAGAGTACATATTTTAGATATATTGGATCTATTATTCAGAGTGATGGTGAAATTGATGGGGATATTATTAGTAGAATCCAAGTTTGATGGTTGAAGTGGAAAAAATGCATCGGGCTTGTTGTGTGATAGAGAAGTCCCCCTCAAATTTAAGAGAAAATTCTATAAGATGGTGGTGAGACCTGCAATGCTTTATGGTGCAGAATGTTGGTCATTAAAAGAAAAGCATGATATTAAGTTAAGTGTTTCAGAGATGAGGATGCTTAGGTGGATTAGTGGCTTTAGATGGCTTGGTCACATAAAACAGTGGCCTTCCAATGACCCAGCTAGGAAAGTAGATGTATTAAAATTGACTTATGTTAAGAAAGGTAGAGATAGACCTAAAAAGGCTTGGTTAGAAAATATTAGAAATGATATTTCTCAATTAGATTTAAATGATAATTTGACTCTTAACAGAATACAATGGAAAAAAAGAATTCATGTAGCCGACCCCATATAGTGAGATAAAAGCTTGATGTTGTTTTGTTGTATACTGTAAAAGTTAAGCTAACAAATTTTTTTTAATCTCTCTGTCTCTCTGAAAACCATTGATTAGGCAATAATTACAGGCAGGCAGTAGCTTTTACTAATAAGGTTAAGAAATAGCAAAGTCTACTCAGGCATTTGTTTAAATTTAATCATTTAAAATTGACAAAGCTTCTAATAAGAGGATAGTGTACGATATTAACCGTCATAAAATGATGATTTGACCCAAACAGTTAAGATAAAGGTAATGATAATGGCCATAATTACATGTATTAAGGTCATTCATAAACAAGAATTAAGGTCACCATTTACAAACTTATTAAATGGAAAAGAATATGCAATTAGCAAAAATATTAAGGCTTTAACCATTAATTAAAACAGTAATTACCATTAAGTGTTGAATTTTGTTGCCATTAACAGTAATTATAGATTTTATTCTATGCTGCTCAAATGTTGCATGATAATTTGCCATGCAAAGTTTACAAAATGGCCATATAACTATATTTGCTAATTTTGGGTGAGGAAGAAGGCTATATTTCATTGTTTATGTACTAGTTAAAAATATCTCTTTACTTTTAAGTTGAGCTTATTGCATATTTTTCTCCCATCTCTCTATTAAAATAAAAAGGTAAGTACTCCTTTCCACATAATACTTACATTATAGTCATCTTTCCAATATCTTATAGTTTCTTTTTCAAAGTCATTTAAATATTCATTCATCCTTTATAGCTTTCTTTTGACTGAATAAACCTGCCTCTTCTTATTTTAAACTCAGTTCATGATTTACCTTTATATTATTTGAGCTTAATGCAACAATGATATCTTGAGAATTTGACATCAATAGGTTTAAGATTCATTGCCTGGGTATCGTCATATTATATATTTTTTTAGTTTCAACTGATTTTTTCACAATTATGTTGTATATCCTATACTAATTTGATTTGTGATTGTCAAAATTTTTTTTTACCAAAAATCACTAATAATATCTAACGATGGGGCTGGATTGTACGCAACTGCACTTTTACATTACTAAGAGGAGGCTATTTGCATGATTTGAACCCATGACCTTGTGCTAAGAGAGGCAAATTAAATTGCTCAAATCCAGCATTTACTTGAATGCAAAATTTTATAAAGTGTAATTTGATTGATTATAATATAGATCTAATGTTGGGCATTGAGTATCATAGATATGAGAACATAAATATGATGCTCGAGGTAAAACTTGGAAGGATAAATTGAAAATTAGTTCTATTAGAGAAAGAGAGAGTGGGAGTAACAATCTATTGAATATAAGATTTCAAAATTGGATCAAATTGGAGTAGCAACAATCGACCCCGTTGTCTTTGAATCATTCCTCTTTCACTCTAGCAAACATGTTATATTCATTCCTCTATGAATATTATTTCCATTCTTTACTTTTCCAATTCGAAAACCTTCAATTGTATTTAATAAATCTTAACTTAGTTTTATAGTTTAATCATTTTTTACTACCATTGAATTAATTTGTCGAGTGTCACCCTTGGGAGACATCCTAACCAACCTTTATCTACTTCACAACTATCAAAATAGAGAACATCCTAGAACTAGCATAATCAGTGAAGTTAGATTAGTATGCTTAATTCGAACATCAAGAAGAGGTGAGGAGGCTCAGCAAAAACTGTTAAGTTTGCTAGAAATGCATATAATGCAGCTGTTATACCAGAATATTCATCACGAGGTTTTCAGCAAAAAAGCACAAATCTAACATAAACGATAGCACTTAAACATAAGCATCGATTAAACAACTCTAAACAAAATGGGATTCCTGAGAAAGGGAATCTTCACCTTATATCCAGCACTAATCAACAGCCTTTGCTCGCTGCTGGATTTGCTGAAGAAGAGCTGCAGCCAACTGCAGAGTTGCCTGCAAACGCTTCTCAGGATCTGCTTCCGTGTCTTCCCTGGAGCTGTTTGGTTCTTGTTGATTAGCCTGTTGCCCAACGTTTTGGACTGGAGGGGCATCAGGTGGTTGTGGCCCTTGCAACTGCGGTTGCTGCCCGCGGCCAATCTGATGTTCTACAGATGCAGAAGGAAAAGATGAATTGGCAGGGGAAATAGAAGTCTGGGCATGCGGCAAGACAGAGTTGTTATACAGCATAGATGTATGAGTCTGGGAAGGATTCTGTGGCAAGATTGAGTAATTTCCCCTTTCATCTTCTCCAGATTGTTTTTGGTTCCCAAGAAGAGCTGCAAGATGAGCAAGTTGTTCAGGTTGGAGAGATATTGATGTTGCCGAAGAAGCCTGAGATTTGATCTCCTGCTGTGGAGGAAACTTGTTTGCCGAAGTTGAAGGTAAAGTCTCAGGCATATAACCACTCAAATCAGTCCCTTGAGCAACTCTTGAATTGAATGCTTCTTTTGAGAAAGATTGACCAAATTGTTGTGAAGAAGCATTTGGAGTAGCAATGAAACTTCCCATGCTGGAGCTAGAAACGGGTAGGTTACCAGACCAGTTAGTTGTCAAAGGAGGATTATAAAGTTGAAATTGGTCATGGGCTCCATCCATTCGTGTATCATGTAGTTTTTCTCCGCGAGCAGGAACCGAGTAAGGGAAACTGTCATCCCGTTTAGATGGTGGTGGAAAAATGGCTGGAGTTAAATATCCTGATGAGGAGGCTGTGTGGTTTTGTTTATGAGAAAATGACCTGAAATCAGGGGAACTTGGTTTCAGGAATGAAGTGCCTTCATGAATTTTAAGCCCTTCATTTGATCTCTGAGTAAGGGATGGGGCTATTGGGTCTGTGAAATCCATTGGATGTTGGAGAGAACTGAAGTTTGAAGCATTTTGTTGGAACTTTAGAATGACACCAGATATGCTCACTTTTCCTGGTACTTTCAGTACTTGTTCAGAAAAGTCTGATGGTGGAACAAGGAATAAAGTAACCTTTTCTCCAAGCTTAGCAACAGCCGCCCGCTGCTTCTCACCAAGATAATGCATGAATTCACTATAGAAACCAATATCTGCATCACTTTCAGGAACAAAAAATACCACCCAAGTACTCACTGCTTGATAATAATGTTTTGCAAGCATATCAAGGCCAGTCCTAGAAGTGCAGTTCAGAAACTCAGGCCTATAACAAAATAATTGATGAGGTAAGATGGGATAGATTAACTTCCATTAGTTATCCATATGAAAAATGCAGCAGCAGAAGAAAATTATTTATCTGATTCCAAGATGGCAAAGAGTAAAGACAAGATAATACAGTTTGGGTGTGTACTTACAGCATAAAATCGAGAAGTTTACCGACGGGAAAGCACCGAGCCCGACAAACAGGTGTTCCACCTTTAGCTATTGTTCCCTCCCACTTCCATATTTCATCAAGTGGGGGAGGTTTATGAGATTCAGGATTAGATCTCTGTAATTTTGGTGAATTATTAGATAATGGTCTAGAAACTGAATTTAAGCGGCCAATGTTGCCCCAAGAATCATCTTTTTCTGCATGAAGACGATTTAGGTTCCTTGAAAAATCATGAGCACCTTTTAAACTGAAAGGAACAGAATCTAGAGGCTTGTTATAACCATGATGGTCTGGCAAATCAAGGAATGGCTTTTGTAAGCTATCACGCTTTTCTTGTTCTAAATCTGAAAAAGGATACTCCGGAAGATCTTTATCAGATATTAAATCAATTTTAAGTTTCTTTGCTAAAGGAAATGATCTGTCCTCTATGTCCCACGAATCCGCGAAGGGTGGAACTCTTTGAGGTCTTTCAAAAGTAAGATTATGCGAAGGTGGAATCTTGTCTGCTGGATTGGTCCTGTGTCTTTCGAAAAATTCTTCTGTTGTCCTTCTGTCAGATGCAAATTCTCGCAATCTCATGTTCTCATAAGTACTAGAAAAAATTGGTTCTCGCTCAGAACCAAACCGGGATGACTTACTCCTAACCAAATCTAGAGCATGTTGATCACGAGACCCCCTATCAAGGCTAGAACCAAATGGTGGAGAAGCCCTGTGAAAATCTCTGACTGGACTCTCAAAGCGTTCATCACCATGTAAGGGCTCAAGGACTTTTGCACTTGACCCAGGTAAAAAGTTAGACTTCAAATGTGAAGAGAAAGGACTATTTGCAAGACCCTTTCCATGTTCAGATGGCATATCACTCCTGGCAAAACATATGTTAACACGAGGATTGTTAAGAAGCTTCCCATGCAGAGCTTCTTTAGCCCTGCAAGCTGCCACCACACTCCTAAAACGAACAAATGCATAGCTACGACCTGGAAATGAAGTAATTTTCTCAATTTCACCGAAAGGTGAAAATGCCCTTCTTAAAGTTATTTCATCAACATTCAACGATGATGGAAACCCTATCCATAGAACCTCACTAGGTTCAGCACTCCTATGGCCCTTGGACTTATCAGAAGATCTTTCAGGGCTAATATTCTGAGTTCTTAAATCTCTTCTCAAAGGTGGTTCACCCCTATCCATTGATCGCCTGTCATTTTTATGATGCAGATACGCCTCATCCTGTAGTACAATGGAAGCTCCGCTTTGTAACTCAACGCTTCTTTATGAATTATTATAAATTATGCACATAGTTTGCAGGTAGAATAATGCAAAATTGAGTAATCAAGCACATTAAGGTTTCACCTACGGAAAGTACTAACAAACAGGACCTAGTTTCACAGCACCCAAAGTAAAAAAAAAAAAGGAAACACAAGTAGGCATCTGACAACCAAAACATCCTCAGTTTAAAGTAGAGAAATTATTTTTAAAAAAAAAAAATACCAGCTCCAGATGAAATGAACCACATTAAAACACTGAGAAGGAAGATGAGTTAAATCTTATAAGGATGCCCTTTGCTCGTCAAATAGACGTTGCGCAATGAAAGCAAAATCATTTATTAACATCTACTTCAACTAGTGACCATAGGAGTATCATAATCAACAGAAAATAATAAGACCTTTGGCCTTCAAAAATAAAATATCGACAGCTAAACTAAAAGAACCAAAAATTAGGGAAGACTGTAGACTCATGCGTACATCATACAAGCCAAATGTTAATCTACTCGAGACAAAAACAACGCATTCTCAAAAACAACCTCATCCCTCCTGTTCTCTTAAAGTATTCCCTCTCCTCTAATGAAAGTTTCACCATCCAAAACTTTTTTTTAAACATGTTTTGGAGAGAGAAAATAGAAAAGTAATATTTTTTCAATTCCAACTGTCAATATGAAACTGTCACTATCGATCTCAATTCTGAATGAGAAAATTTGAGGGATTATGTTGGGTCGATAACTAGATGTAAAACTAATGCCAAAACTAATTGAATTAAGTCCAATTTTCAATTTTGCAAGTGATTGGGCATTCCCGACAAATAGCATGCTATGACCTAATATAATTTTGAAGAGAAAAAGGGGTGATATCAAGCTGATTTCTAGTGAGCCAGCCAAAACTTGAAATTAAATATTTCAATTTTGAATTGAACTTGAATTGAGCCAAATTCAACTTGAATCAACAGTTTGTTTTGAGTTGATTTGAGTAAAATCTATTATTTTTATTAAAAAAAAAAATACTTACTATTCAGACTTTCTTTGTATATTTCTTCTAAAATATATTAAATGTAAATGCATAAATATATATGCATTATACCATTTTGTATTATGTAATTATCAATACATACATCCATATTTGTACATATATATTTAAGCGCAAATAAATATGTTCATATATCATACATGTGTTAATTTCAAGTTGAATTAAAACTTATTACAAGCGAGTCAGCTTCGAGTTGGAGCATATCAATTTTGATTGAGTCGACTAAATATCATTCGATTCCAAGTGACGTTCTAGTTTCGTACATAATTTTTCGACCTAGTGAGAATTAGGCAAAAATTTACTTAGACGTCAAACTTAAATAATGTCACAACTTTCTAATATCGGGGTGAAATTTATGCAAGGGTTAGCAAGAATGCCATTAACAATTAATATTTCATAACTTAACCTGGTTGTGGTAAACAAAACTAAGCAAACATCGAAAAGGCCCAAAGTTAAGATTAGATTTGTCATGGAAAATTTATGGATGAGAATTAAATGACACAATGATTGAAGAAAATAAATAATTCTTGTTTACAATAAACTAAATGGTAAGAGAGGGAAAAATCACAAGATATTAGGGAATGTTATAAATTATAATATGTTAAAAAGATTAACAATACAAAGGGTATTCGCATAGCACTGATGGATGGAGAGTTGAAACATATAACTATTGAGGTGAATACAATTAGTGATAGTGTGATTGATATTAAGATAATTATTAAATATGACTAATACTTATGCTTTTCAAGTTAGATCAGAAGATATTTTAACAAATCAATTTTGGAAAGAGAAGCAAGTGTGATTATAATGTATATCTCAAGAAAAAATTATAATTATTGGGGGCAACTTGAATTGACATATAGGTTTAGTAAGATACTAAGATGGGTTATAAGAGGACTCACAGTAGATATGAAATAGGAGATAGAAAAGCAATGGGAGTTTTTATACTTGATTTTGTAGTAGTCTATTATCTTATTATAATAAAAATGTACTTTAAGAAACGATAAAACATTTAATAACTTGCAAAAATGAATCCACCAAATAATAAATACAATTCATTTTATTTGAAAAGAACATTGCTTTTACAATAATATGGAGTTGTAGTTATGGGTGAATATCTCAGAAGTATGAAAGGAACAGAGCAAAATAAGGAGGCGGAACTTCAACGGAGAGAAATTATTAGCCATATAAGATAGGTTGCTAAGAGAAACTTGATGTGGGACAAAATAACTCATTTCATCAAGAAAATTGCTGTTAAAATTGTAAGAGATTTAGAAATAGAATGTGCATTTGTACGGATACCTAATGGTGGAGTTATGAGGTACAAAAAGTTTCATACTCGGCTTGTCAAAATTAAGGAGGCAAAAACACTAAGGACCTTATCAAAATTAACTTTCCAATCAAGGATTCATACTCTGCTTGAAAAAAGCAATCAGCAAGGCACACAAGTGTAACTCACACTTTAGACATTACAGAACAATACTTTGTTGGCTTGAATCAGTACCACCATGTTTGTATGCATTGATTGCCAAATTTTTGGTCAATAGCCGAGGATTAGCCACCAATTATGCGCCATTTCACATCATGAAAAAAATATAATGTTACAACAACTTAGCTTAAACACTCATAATGAACAAGATTTTTTGGTCTGTGAAATACTAACTATATTTTGTTTGTCAGTCATCACCTTAATAACATGCAAAAAGTAGGGCAAAAGATGTGCCAACATAACCAAAGTTACCACAAGTTTCATATGCGCTAGATAATTTTCATCCATACCCTTTTGGATTTTACTTAAACAATTAATAATCTTTGCATTTTAGTTATCTAATATTTTGCAGTAATTGAAATCATCAGGAATTGAAGGACCAACGGTACTGCATGGTTTGGTACTGCATGGTTTGAAACAATAAAATGAAGGCAGTCTAAAGAGAGATTCAACAGATTCATTGCATTTGGTCATCCATTCAACTTTTTCTTTTAGAAAAGAACAAACAAATAAGTCTATAGCAACTTTTTTTGGTTAAAAAAAAACAAAAATTAATATCCTGCAACGCTACCACAGCTTCAATCAAATAGGTAATTTCTATGATGTACGCATTAGATTTGAGAATAGTTATGAAAATATCAGAACATGAAAACGGAATTAATAAGACATAAATCCCACCTAAATATCAACAAACTTCAACATGAGCATGGTATCATGCAATGCACAAACATTAACACAATATTACAACTATACGCATCTTTCGATAGGCATCAATTGTTCTTCTATTTTTTCTATATGCTCATGTTACTTGATAAGCAGGCACATCTCACATAATTATAAGTTTTCCCACGTGGTGCAAAACCACAGTAAATACACAATTCGAGCAGTAAGATTTTTTTTGCATATTCAGATAGCACAATAGGCATTTGATTCTAAAAACATTCAGCTTCAAAAGCAACTACAAATACTCATGATAAACATTAAGGCTCTGTTTGGGACGGTTTTTTCGTTGCTTTGCTTTTCAAACAATGACTATAATTTTATTTGGCTACTATTTTCTTGCTATTTTTTCACTGTTTCTAAAAATTTCTTTGAAAATAAGTTATTTTTTACATCCTATGTAGCTAAATTATTTTTTCCACATTAACTTCACAACCAGCTTTATAAAAAGTTGTAGCATCTCAAACAGACCCTAAATTTCTGCTAAACAATTTACTAGATGCTTGACAAACAACTCAGAAACTTAAAACCCCTTTATTTGTTTGGCTGGTAAAAAGTCAAAAAAAAACATTAGACATATCTCTAACTTTTACTTTTAGTAATATAACTAATTAATTAGAATTATTAACTTAGAAGAAAAAAAAAGTGACTAAGCCTTAAAAAAAAAAGTGACTAAACCCTTCCCGCCTAAGTCTTCTACTCATAAGAAAAAAAAATCTTTTTAGTCCCACACCGTGAAAGACCAAAATATTTTGCTTTATATAATAAGACATTTTGACAATGTTAGTAAATGTGTTGTATGGTCCGGACAGTGGTTGTGAGCATACGGCAAGTACTTTGATCAAATTATTTTAGAGTTCAGAACTGTTCACATAAATATATAATAAAACTATTTTGATTTAATAGATAATTAATGACTCATAAATATACTTAATTAAAAATTATTAATAAAGTCAGTGGGGGCACGTGCCCCCATGCTGCATCCGCCCCTACCTCCGGCGAAGATGCTGCACAGCCGCCGTCGATCAAGAAGCCAACCCTTCGACGCGAAAACGGTTATGAGAAATCGGAGCCGGTTTTCCGGTTTAACGGTCGAATCGCCGGTTCAAACGGTCCGAGACCGGTTCGACGCGAAAACGGTTCTCAGGAGAATCGTAACCGGTTGGCCAGCCGGTTCGCAGTTCAACCGGTTGAACCGGCCGGTCCGGTCCGGTTTTAAAAGCCTTGCAATTTAGTTCATAAGCATGAATGCTTATTGCAATTTAGTTCATAAGCATGAATGCTAATTGCTCTACAAAACACATCGATAAAAGCTACATAACAAGTTGACCTACAGTTTTGAAATAGCAAAAAAATACCTTAATTGATAATAAGTTACCTTATCCTTTTTATGAAAGGTTTATCACCATTATAAAGCATAATACTAAAGTTAAAGTAGATTGAAAGGTCCTACTAAGCAAAGTGTTCATAAATATTGTTTAGGTCCATTTCTTCATTTTTCATGAATGTTTTTAGCATTAGATTGGACATTAAACCGGTGTAAGGATGGGTGGGTTCAAGGTTCAAAGATTAAAATATTTACAATTATATACAAAGAACCAAATGGTGTTCAATTATGATAATGACATTATTAAAATATTTCAAATTATTTAAATGGTGTAATATTTCTAATAGCAATCATAAGTGATTATATATATATATACATATTGCACTAATATCAC